ATCCATTCCCATCCCACCACCCATCCCATCCCACCCCACCCACCATTCCCATTCCCATCCCACCATTCCCATTGCCACCCCACCCACCATTCCAACTCCACCGCCCCAACCATTCCCATCCCACCCCATCCCATTCCCCCATTCCCATCTGTCCCACCATTCCCCTCCCACCTGGAAGTCCTGGGGTTTGTTGGGCAGGGGTTTTTTGGGGGAGCTCCTGCTCCTCCTGCGGCGCAGGCTGGGCTGGGTGGGGGGTCTGTGGGGCAGCGGGGGGGGCTCCGAGCCCGGGGGGCCCGAGGACGACGACGGCTCCGCCTCATCCCCCGTCACACCCGGATCCTCCGGCTCCTCCTCTTCAGCCGGCTCTGGCAGGAGGGAGAAGGGATGCAGGGATGTGGGAATGGGGCTTCCCGAGGGGGGGATACCCGGGGGGGTCACCAGGGGGTCTCCTACCTGTGACCGTGTCCAGCTCGGCCGCAGCCGGGGCCGGCTCCGGAGGGGCCGGGGGGGGGAACAGCGGGACAGCCCCCGGGGGGGGCAGGTAGGACACCTGCAGCAGCAGGAAAGCCTGGGAACAGGGAATGTCGTCACAGAGGGTGGGATAACGGGGGCAAGCTGGGAGATGGGCATGGGAAAACTGGCCTGAAACACTGCTCGGACTGGACTCAAACTGGGAGCTGCCACTGGCAGGGACAGGGCTCTGACTGGGCTCAAACTGGGAGGGTCACTGGCAGGGACAGGGCTCAGACTGGGCTCAAACTGGGAGGGTCACTGCTCAGACTGGTCTCAAACTCACAGGGACACATTTTGGACTGGTCTTAAACTGGGAGCTGCAACCGGCAGGGACATTACTCGGACTGGCCGTGCCCTGTCTGTACTGGTGCCACCCTGGGGTCCCCCAGCCCCTCCTGGTGCCACCCTGGGATCCCCCAGCCCCTCCTGGTGCCACCCTGGGGTCCCCCAGCCCCTCCTGGAGCCACCCTGGTGTCCCCTCCGTGCCGCTGTCCCCGCACTCACCCCGGTGCTCTCCCGGTGCGTGTCCAGGAGGGGGAGGTTGAACGAGGCCGCCAGGCTGGGGGTGCCCAGGACATCCCGGAGGGGCACCCGGCACTCCCCCAGGAACCTGGGAAAGGGGACAGCTCAGCAGGGAAGGGGCCACTCCAGGGACACCCAGACCCCTCCTGAGCTGGGGAGCTGCTGGAGCAGATCCAGAGGGGGCCATGGATGTGATCCCTCTGCTCTGGAGCCAGCCTGGGAGAGCTGGGGGGGTTCCCCTGGAGAAGGGAAGGATCCAGAGAGACCTGAGAGCCCCTGGCAGGGCCTAAAGGGGCTCCAGGAGAGCTGGAGAGGGACTGGGGACAAGGCATGGAGGGACAGCACACAGGGAACGGCTTCCTGCTGGAAAAGGGGAGATTTAGATGGGACATTGGGAAGAAATCCTTCCCTGTGAGGGTGGGGAGGGACTGGAATGAATTTCCCAGAGAAGCTGTGGCTGCCCCTGGATCCCTGGAAGTGTCCAAGGCCAGGCTGGACCTGAAGCAGCAGGGCTGGGGGGAGGTGTCGACTGAGATCTCCTGTCCCGGGATCCAGGACCCTCCTCCCGCCCTCCCCTCACTATTTATAGTCACAGGGAGCTGGATGGTTCCCAAATTCCAGCTCCTTGGCCTCCAGCCCAAGAGCCAGCCCAAGGTTGGCTCCAGCTCTGGAAATGGGATCAGGCCAGGCCATGCTCCCTGTCCCGACTGGAGCAGGAGCAGGAGCAGGAGCAGCACATTCCCAACCCTCCAAAACCCAAAAATAAATCCCTCCCTCGATTTTTTCCCGTTCCGAGCAGCTCTCCCTCCCCACAGAGCCATGCACGGAGCCAGCTTGGGGCTTCCACAGCGGGATCCCCCCATTCCAGACACAGCAGGGAGCCCCCTATCCCGGGGAATTCCCGGAGTGGGGTCACAGGGGCCGGGGGGAGGAAGGAAGGCGGCGGCTCCAAGGGCTCCACCGCCCCTTCCCGGCGCTACCGGCGCCTCGGGAGAGGAGCTTGGCAGCCACTTCCCACCTCCCCTCCCGGCCAAGGGCCCGGCACAGGCATCCCCTGCGCATTCCCAGCCCTCCAACGCCGCAGTTTCCCCCCACGTTGGGAGCAAAGCAGCCCAGAAATGCCGCTCCAGCCTCCCACTGCCCGGGGAGAGACGGGCGGAGCCCGGGAAGAGCCGGCACATCCCGGGGGACATTCCCGCACATCCCGGGGGGACATTCCCGCACATCCCGCGGCTGGGGGATCATTCCCAGCTCCCGGAGCTTCTCCCACCTGTTCCTGCCCATGGTCTCATGGTCTTTGACCACCACAGTGAGCTCGGCTCCGGCATCCAGGGGAACCCCCTTGAGATCCCACTCGAATCCCTGGGGAGGAGAGAGGAGCGGGATCAGTGCTGGGATGAGGCACCCCAGGCTTTGCCTCCCAGCTCCCCCCAAAGCCAAATTTCCCGGCAGATCCCCAGGAAAAACCTGCCCTGGACAAGGGCCTTTCCCTGGCCGTGGATTAACAGGAAAGACCAACCATGGGAGCAGGTTCAGCACCACAGCTGGGGCAGTTTTCCCAAAAAATCCCTCTTCTGCTTAAATTTTGGCCCATGGAAACACAAGATAGGGATGGAAGGAAGAAGGTGCTGGGAAAACTCCTTTTTTTTCCCACCAAATCCCCTTTTTTTTTTTTAAATTTTGGTCCATGGAAACACAGGACAGGGTTGGAAGGGGAAAGGCACTGGGAAAACTCCCCTTTTTTCCACTAAATCCCCTTTTTTTTAAAAAAACTTTGCCCCTGGAAGGCCAGGATGGGGGGGGCAGGGAGAAGGTGCCGCTTTTCCCACCAAAGGCCCCGGGATGGGGATGCTCTCACCTCATTCCATATGGGATTTACGTTGTTCTTGATGACCTTTGTCCTCTTCTTCACACCTGGAGGGAGAAACACACGGATCACAGGAGCTTCCTGTGGAGTAGGATCCCAAAATTCCCAGCTCTCAGGACATCCAGGGACTCCCACAATTCCCAGGACAGGATTGGATCCCCATTCCCTGCTCCCAGGTGGGGCTGAGCATCCACTGACTCCCACAGTTCCCAGGAGCAGGATCGGGCCCATTCCCTGCTCCCAGGCTGGGCTGGGGATGCAGGGATGGGGTCCAGGACTCCCCTTGGATCCCAAACCCTGGAAAACCCATGGGAGTCACCTTGGAGCTGTGCCTCAGTTTCCCAAGGAGCAGAGAGGAGGTTCCCAAAGGGTTCCAGGGGGATTTTTGGGATGGGAGTCCCAAACACCCCCCTCCCTCCATGAAAACCTCGGGATTGTGCCTCAGCTTCCCCTCGATCCCACCAAATTCATGGATGGTGCCCTGTCCCCTGGTGGCCCGGGATGGGAGCAGAGCCATCCGGGGATGTCCCGTCAGGAGCCTCCCAGAACCCCCATTCCCAGTCCTGGGGGGGCTCCAGCCCTGCCCAGGATCCCCCAAAACCCCCCTGTCCCCGCTGGAATGTCACGGCATCCCGAGCGGGAGGGACCGGGGGAAGAGGAAAAGGAAGAGCCAAACAATAGGAGTGACTCAAATCCCCGGGGACAGCGGGAAGGGACACC